CCTGTGTCATCTCAGGGGGTGAGCCCACATCCTCAGGGTGAACAGCAGATCTGGAGGCATCATACCCGTAATTAGGGGACACCTGCAGCCCTCACCCCAGCTCACCTTGGTCCTGATGGCTATCCAACTTTGCCTCTTCTCACGACACTGAGGCCAGGCCTCCACCTTGAGGTCTCAGCTGTAATGTGGCCTCCTCAGCTGTCCCTGACCCCCTAGCATGGAACAGCCCTCCCTCGTCCCTATTTCTCAACCCAGTCTCTGTGGGCTTCCCTGAGAGTCCTTGGTTTTCATGTCTCCCCTCCCTGTAAGATGCACAGGGCAAGACCTTGTCTCTCCAGCCCTTGTTGAATCCCAAAGACCTGGCCCAGGGCTGGTACCCAGTAAATAACTGTCAAGTGAGTGAACGAATGAACACTACCAGCAGCTTGTCATGCCTGGAACATCCCTCCCCGACTCCGCAGCCCACAATCCATCCCAAGCTCCTTCTGCCTCTATTCATATTGCACCCCCATGCCCCACTGTCCTCACTTGCCTCACTGCTTGCTGCTCTCAGAGCCTCCTGCCTGCCTCCAAACTGGCCCACCGGGACCCTTCACCTGAAATGCCCTCCACCCCGACTCCTACATGGCCTTCGTGTTCCAGCTCAAAACACCACGTATTCCTCAGAATCTTCTCTGGTTCTTCCAACTGGAGGCAGCCTCTCTGGCTTCTGGACCTTAATGTACAAATCCCCGGGGGAGGGAGAAACTACACTATCATTAACAGACAACTGCCCTCTGAAACTGCCTTCTAATTCGGTTCTCTGTAACTCCAAATACTGACCACCCCTCCCCCGACCCAAGGGGCACCTGGGCCACCCAGCCTGCCCTAGCTCTTACCACAGCCACAGCCAGGCCAATCACTGTGATGATCCCAAAGGACAGAAGCATCGTGCCCACGCCCGCTGGGCCGCCCACCACGTCAGGCATTCTAGTGCCGTTAAAGCTGGTGGCTTCTGGGCTGAGGGTGGTGGTCTCAGAGGCTGGCCCATCTGTGGCAGGCTCCAGGTCAGCTTCAGAGGTAGGTGGGCGGCTGCTGAACCAGCCCCGAGTAGATGGGATCCTGGAGTTCATGCTGACGCTGAGAGGGCCCTGGTCGAGAGACTGCCCACGGTCAGTCAGTCTGCCCACTCACTTCCTACATTAGAAGTGCTCCAGTCTGTGGCCCCGCCACCCCCTTGGATAAAGGGAGCCCCCTGCCTCCCCGGGTGCTGGAAAGGAAAGAATAAAAAACATTAGGGCTTAGGATGGTGGCTTGGTGATGAGATGAAGTCCCTCAAGTTTCTGAAGACATGGGAGAAATAAAAGCTTGAGGGCAAGGGCCAGTTCAGGGGACATCAGGACACATGCTTTATACATCTAAGGTTCTTGTGGATTTGAGTGAGTCAGCCTCCGACTCACGGCCACCCCATTCACAGCACAGTGAATCACTGCCTGGTCCTGCGCTATCCCCATGATGGGTTGCGGATTAGCCTGTTGTGATCCACGGGGTTTTTATTAGCTGGTTTTTCAGAAGTAGATCACCAGGCCTTTCTTCCTAATCCATTTTAGTCTGGAAGATCCACTGAAACCTGTTCAATACCATAGCAACACACAAGACTTCACTGACAGACAGGTGGTGACTGCGCGTGTGGTGCGTTGGCCAGGAGCTGAACCTGGGTGTCCCGCATGGAAGGCAAGAACTCTATCACTGAATCCCCAGTGCTTCATGCCTCATATGGACTCTGTCTGTGGGCACGGTGAGCACAGAGATCATACCTGAAAGATGCGAAAGGCAGTGGAGGTTTGCAAGAAAAAGTCCGTCCCCTACACCTGCTCCCAAGCTTGGAGAAAAAAATACTGCAGCTTTTTCCTTTCCTGGAGGAAAACCCTTGCCCCGGTCAGACAGACCTGGCTTTGAATCCCAGCTCAGCCACTCAGCTGGGTGATCCTAGGGAAGTCACTGCACCTCTCTGAGTCTCAGTTTTCCTGAGGCTGAAGCTGGGATATTAAGAACACTGTCTTCACAGTGCCATAATGTTACAGAAATGTCAAAATGAACCAGTCCCTAAAAAAGGCTTAGCTCAGCACAGCCCCCACCCTTTGCACACAGTAAGTGCCCAATAACTTAAATATTCTCCCTCTGGCCAACACAGTCAGAGAAGGCAGTCACAGAGACGTCTGGATCCAACCCGATGCTAGGAGGAGGGTGGGGGCAGGTGTGGAGAGAGGGGTGTGGCTGCTCAGCCAGCGTGTATACAGGAAAGAGAGGTGGGAAGTCGAGTTCTCTGGCAGACCTTCTCTGCAGGCTTTTACGGTCAGTGCACTCCCCACGGGGGGGGGGGGGGGGCTGGGTGCTACCAGGGACAGGGAGAAAGGTGAGGGCAACATTTCCACTTTGAGGTACCCCCTCCTCTCTTTCCCTTCTCCCCTGGGAGGGGAGGGTAGGAGAGGTGCTCAGCCCAGGATGTGGCTTAGGCCTTCCCAAGCCAGAGGGCCCTGGGTAAAGTGGGGTGGGAAGGCGTCCCAGTCAAGCTGTAGACGGGCAGGTGTGGGGAAGGGAGAGAGAGGACACACAGCTCATGGCTGCACACATTCCCCCCTGTGCTGGTGCATGGCTGCGGGGTGGGGTGGGGTTCCTCCCTGTGCAGGTGCATGGGTGTGTGAGGGGTGTGCACACACATGATGGCCCCCCTTGGAGAAAGGCAAGGCTGGCAGAGGGACCAGGGAGTGGGGGTCAAACTCATCCCTCTCTGCCCTCTTCCTCCTGCTAGGCTGAGCGAGTCCTGGGTTCTCGTTTTGGCTCCGCTACTGACCCTAGGCATGACCTTGGGCTGGACCGTTAACTCTTGCTCTGTGGCTCAGTTCACTCCTCCATCCAAAGGGGACAAGGGGCCCTGCTCACCACTTCCCAGGTCTGCTTTGGAGTCCAAAGGGTAGGAAGGGATACTGGGGTGAAAGGGTTGGCGCCGCGACCTCGGAGAACCCGCGTACCGTTCTCGGCCAGGTCCTCCAGTCTTCCTTGCCCCAGTCCTCATCCCCGCCTCCGCCACTCTGATTCCTCCATCCTTGCACAGAAGCGGCGACCTCAGCACTTACTTAATCCGGGGCGCGAGCTCAGTCGGGGAGGCTGGGGGTGGTGGCGGCGGGCGGGAGGCCGGGGCGGGGGGAACCCCGAGGCCTGGAGTTGGTGGGGGGATGGCAGGTCCGACACGAGGTCCTCCCTCCCCGAGCAGCCAGCCGGGTTCGCTACCGCGCACTGCTCGCAGCTGCGAGCGCCGACTCTTGCCTGCTTGGGCCAGGCTGGACAGGGCCCGGACGGATGGTAGGGGTGGGGCCGGGCGAGCAGTCTCCTGGGGTCCCCGAAGCTCCAGCGACCCGCGCCGCCCCGCCTCCCCACCTGCTCCCCGCCCCCCTCCCCGGATTGGCTGTCAGGCCTAGAGCCCACTTGCCATTGGTCCGCTCGTCTGTCACTGAGCCGGGGCTCAGTCCTCCGGGACCACCCCTAAACACCCCCGCCGGTGTGGAAGCCTGGAGAGGACCGTGGGTGGCTAGGCCCTTCTCGGGCCAGAACTCAGGCTCCTAGTCAGCCCGGGCTCCACTCCCATCGGGACAGACTCGCGCCCCCAAACGCAGGCCCACGAAGGAGGGTTGGGGAGAGCACTGGACCGAGAGTCCCTGAACCTGAGTTGAACTCTGGTTCGACCCTCTACTGACTTTGTGACCTTAGGCAAGCTGTTTCCTTTCCCTGGGCCTCGTCCTCCTGCTCAGATGGGGCTTGGTTGTGAGGGTTCTTGGTAAATGACCCTCACCCTAGGCTAGACATGGGGCATCTTGAGTTTAGAGAAGAAGTTGGGGCAGGTGGTATTATGATTGGGCACCCCGACTCAGGCAAGCCTGCATATGCCCCTCACAGTGGCCTCCACGCACGGAGCGGCCATCTCAGGGGAAGGGCCCTGAGACACTCTCTAATCCTCAATTTTTCAAATGGGCTTATGGGAATCACCGGGGTAGCTTGTTACAAATGCAGATGCCCGCGACTCCCGATGTTTGGGACCGAGCCCGGGAATCCGCGTGTTTAATAAGAACTCCCTTTCTCAGTAGATTTTGGTGAGGGGGGTCGGCAGTCCACACTTTGCAGGGTACTCCCATGCCTTGAATGTTATAGAAGAAACAGGCCCAGAGAAAGCAGGGAACCTGGACAAAGCCGCAGGACCAGTTGACAACAGAGTCAGAATTCGAACCGAGGTCTCTAGCGTCGGGGTTCGAACTCCCTGCTCCAAACCCTAAACGGTCTGACCCAAGGCCAATCTCAGCGCTCGGAGCGAGAGGAACTGGAGTGGTCCTGGGATCCAGTCGCCACCGGTCCCTGTTGGGCTCGGGCCACTGCCTTCGGCCAGTTCTCGGACATTGGCTCCCTCCGCGAGCACTGGGCCCCGCCTAGACCAGCTCTACCTGACCCACCGGCTACGTTAGACCTCGCTCCTAGACATCGGGCCCCGCCCCGGGACCCAAGGCCTGCTCGTGACACGCCCCCGTTCGCCTTCACACGCCTCAGTCCCCGCCCCTAACGCCAGCTCCGAGCTGTCACCGTAGGCTGGAGCTGTATTCCCGCCGTGACCTTCTGAAAGATCTGCGAGTCCTGGCTCCAGGGAGCAACCACCTACACATTCACGCCCTTTCACACCCGTGAACTTGTGGACGTAGTGCGCATGGCGTTCACAGCCTCCCCAACTGTGGGATCTCCCGGGTGAAACCTGGCGGCACTAGGAACTCTGGAGCCGTGGCGGTGGGGTCCGCCCGAGCCCTTTCTCAGCTGCGCCGACCCCGGAAGCTGGGCGTCCGAGGGAGCGCACGGTGGCACACGCATGTCCGAGGGCCAGACGCGGGGCCGTTTCTCCACACCGGAGGGCGGGCGGGCGGCCAGAGGGCGAGTGGGGCAGCCCCTCGGGCAGGTACGGACTAGAGGCGGAGATCGGGGTGGGGGCGCCCGGACTGTAGTACCCTTGACTTCTGGCCGGCTCCATCTCCCGTAGTACCGATGGCGAAAGAGGCCCAAGTAGAAGGCCACCCTTCCTGTGTCCCTAACGATGCCTTGCGAAGCTGAAAGGGAGGCCGCGCCCCTTGACTTCAAGCCTCGACTCCTTCCGGGGCAGCGCCCAGGTGAACAGAGCTGCTTCTCGAATCTCTGAGACGCGGGTTCGTGTCCTGCCTGGGACAATTCCTAGCTGGATGACCAGTTCCTAGCTGGCTTCCACTCTCGGAACCACTGTTCCCTCCTGTGAAATAGGAGTTGCTTGTCTCTGAAGGTCTGGCGCTCAGCAGGCGCTCAGTAAATGCTTGTTTAAATCTTGGTTTGTCTGAAAGGAAAGGGCACTACTGATTTTAAACTAAATATTTAGTTAAACTTGTTTATGACAATTTAAATATAAAATTAACAAAAATTGTAAAAATTTTTTGGCTGGCAGTTTATGCCGACGCCTGGGATCGCGGGTTAAATTGCAGGAAAAGTTTCAGCGTACAATGACAGTACATACAAAATGTCAGAAGCAAAGCTCTGGAACAAAGGCACTCTCCTCCCCTTGGTAATATTAGTTAGGAGCGTGTAACACTGAGGCCCTGCTACGTGCTGAGCTGGGCCCTTGACTTTCACTGGCTAATACACCACTCACCATGGCATTGGTGTTACTCTTACCGTTTTACTGATGGGAAAACTGAAACTCAATGACTTGCCCAAGGTCACACAAGCTGGGTCAAACACAGACCCACCCGACCCCAAACCCCTCGCCCTGCCCTACCGCCAGTCCCGTTTGTTAGCAGGGGCTGAGCTATGGGTTCATCCACTTTAACTCAAAACGTGAAAAAAACATAATTGGCCAAGAAAAGGAGAATCAAATAGGTGAAGGTCTAAAGTGGAGTCAGAGGTGATGGAGCAAGAGCATGCCCCCTCTCAGGCAGGGGGCGGAAAGCAAGTCCTGGTCCCACGGGGGTGGGGGTGGGAGTCACTTAAAGCTCAGCTACTCTCCTGCCTCCCCCCCACCCCCAGGGTAGCAGCCACATCTGAGGACCAGAGCCACTTTGGGAAGCTGGAACCTGTGATCTCCGTGTCTCCACCTGTCTGGGGCTGGTGATGACCTTCAGAACCCACCTCAGTAAATGACATCACCAGAAAGACTTGGGGACTTGGGAGCACTCAGGAGAGCCTTTCTCTGAGACATGAAGCTTTGGGGCCAAATGCTGTGGGCCCTCCTGTCTGGCCCAGGAAGGAAAGGAGGCACCCGGGGCTGGGCCTTCAGCTCATGTCCACCCCATTCACCTCTGGCTGGGTTGGTGAGTGCCACAGAGCTGGTCAGCCACTGGACAGCAGTCTTTGAAGAGAGAGGCATTCCTGAGGCCCGGGAATCCAGTGAGTACATCGTGGCTCATGTCCTTGGAGCCAAAACAGTTAAGTGCTGTGGTGCCGGGAGGGTGGGAAGGGTAGGGAAAGGGAGGACCCTGGGGAAGAGGAACATCCAGGCTTTTCTGCTCCAGTGAGAGATAGGCTCACCAGCTGCCACCACCTTCACACCCCTCAGCTGAGACCGGTGAGATTTTTCTGAAGAAACATCTTGTTAGGTGCCATCAAGTGGATTCTGACTCATAACAATCCTATGTACAACAGAAGGTCTTAGGCAGATATTTATTCATTCACCCAATGAACTGTTAGGGTACCTGAGCACTAGGGATTCAAGGATGACCAAAGTGGCCGGAACTGAGCCTCAGACATTGTCCACATAAGAACCCCCGTTGGGATCCCTGGGCTCATAGAACCAGCTACTGATATTCTCTGTGGGGTCAGTTTCAGAGTCTGAGGCCAGCACTTCGGACCCAGCCACTGACCTCTCAGCAGCTACAGTGCGTCCAGGAGCTGAGTAGCCGCAGACTGCAGAGGTGAGGAGCCGTGGGCCAAGACTTGGGGCTCTGTCACAGGAGAGGAAAGTGTCCGAAGACTGGGGAGGTGCAGGGTGAAGGAATGGCAAGAGGGGGGTCAGGGCAGTGAATGAGAATGGAGGGAGGGAGACAAGGCCTTGGATAGGAGACCGGGGCCCAGGAGACACGTCTGGCCACTAGTGGTAACCCTTAACCCAGGCGTGGTTGTGCCGGTCCTACCTCTGTCACTGACTACCACCCGGCTGCCCCCTCTGCAGGATGCCAGTGCAGTACATCCTCGGGGAGTGGGACTTCCAGGGACTCAATCTGAAGATGGCGCCCCCAGTGTTTATCCCTCGGCCAGAGACAGAGGTGAGAGCTGCCAGAGCAGGGCTGGATGAAGAGGACTGTGGGGTTCAGGGCACCTGTCTTTCCCTAGACTTCCTCCAGAGGGCACTGTGGCTCCACAACTGCTGTGTTTAGGGGCCGTGTTCGTCCTGTGGTGTCTCCCACTGGCCTCCTGGACTGTCCTCTCGTCCTGAGCCTGCCCAAGGTGCTCACACTAGTGCTGCCCACTGAGTGTTCAGCCTGTTCCTACCGTTTTCCTGGGAGCCGTCCTTTCACTGGGTCCGGGAGGGCCCCAAGACCCGCCTGACTTATGGGAAACCAACGCCCTCCGGCAGTTCTCAGGATGCGTGGGCGAAGTGGAGAGGGCTCAAGCTGGACACCTGGAGGTCCAGTCTCTGTTGTGTGACCTTGGGCAAGCCACTGCCCTCTTTGGGGCCAGACGATGAGAGGGTTGGACTTTTAGGCCAGAGAAGCTGCGTCTCAGTGGTCCTTGTAGATTCATTCTCTGGTTAGGTAATCACCTGTGTTTGTCTCCCAGATTATGAGGACTGGGGACGTGTGGCCTGGCATTCTATCCTTAAGTGAGACCCCTGATCCTGGGAGGGACACTTTCTGTGGCTCATCTAGTGCTCCCCCTGACCTTGTAGGTGACGGAGTGAGAGAGAGCAGACCAAGTCGGGGGTGGGGGGATGAGAGAGGCTGGGTGAGTTGTGAGAAGGGGTGTCTCTGGGAAGTGCCCAGGCACACAAACATTCCTAGGAAAGGTCAGGCCCCATCCACCTGCCCTAGCCAGGGACCCCGAGCCCCTCACTCTTCCAGCCTCTGCACCCAGCCCCTGCCCCCCCACCATGAGGTTGGAAGGCTAGGTCCTTGCCTCACTGCCCAGCGTCAGGGCTGAAGTCATAGGGCAGCCAGGTGGGGTACATGAGGGTAGCACCCAGGTTCCCAGGCCAAGCCGCACACCTCACATGGGGCTGCCCCATCTGGGATTGGCATGAGCTGGGTTAGGATCAAGAGCAGTATGTGACCTGCCACCTCCAGGCCTTTAATAGGCCACCCAGTGGCTCCCCCTGAATGTGCAACCTGTGGCAGGAGGTTACTCACCACCCTTGAGGCAGCCAAGGGTCAGAGCATGGGAGGGTGGCCACCATGGTTACCTCCAAGTCCCTGCAGAGCTGACCTGGCACCAGCCATGTATCCTGGGGTTCTGAGTGTTCAGTGTGGACTTCTGGCTCCCACATGGCCTGCCCCTTTCCTGGGTGGGTCTGGGCCGGCAGAGCAGCCCCACAGCAAGGGAAAGGGCTGTGGTTGGGCGGCTGGGGCCTCGCTTCACTGTACAGACATTTCTGAGAACTTGCCTAGGTTTGCACCAATGTGAAGCCACATTGAGGGGTGCCTTACCAAGAACTCAAGAGGACGTGGCCTGTAGTAGGGAGTGGGGCAGAATGGGTGTAGGGGAGGGATCATGTTTCTGATGATGGATGTAGAAGTCTGAAGTGCAAAGTTGCAGGCAGCAAGGGGGCTGGGCAAGTTGGGTTTATCCTGGAGGTGGGAGGATGGCCCAGTCCCTGGCCTGGTAGTTTGTGTAGAGGAAACCGAAGGCTGGGGGTGTGAGTCATTCTTGCCCAGCCTGGTGAGGTAAGGCTCCGTGGGTGTCTTGTCTGTGATTTGTAGGCAATGCCACCTTCCTGGGGCTGCCCCACCAGGGTTACCATCCTAATGGAGGGTGCTTGTGGCACTCAGGTCGTGCTGAGGCCTCGGGGCAAACTCTTGAGGGGTGTGGAGTCCATGTTAGTGCAGGGACTCCAAGCAGAGCCAACAGCTGCCTGCTTCCTGCCTCCTTTCCACATGCCCCTCTCTCTACACTGATGTGTTCTTAGATTCTTCCCATGTTTATCTGGACAAGGTGTCCTGGGCCCGTGACCGGCTCAGCTCTCAGCTTCCCCCAAAAAGCCACCAGCTTCAGGCCTGAAGGAGGCTCTTCAATGGGTAGGAAAAGTTTCTGGTCTTCGTGGGGATGATCACCACCCCCGCTCCCCGGGTGGACCCACAACCAACAAGCGCCTCCCCCGTGGTCTGGCAAGTAAGGGAGAGGCAGGGGGCCACTGGCGGGGCTGGGGCGCTGTCTCTCCGCCTCATATCTGGCCTGAGCTGGCTGTCCACATCTGTGGTTTTCTCTGTCTGAGGTCAGGGGTGTCTCTGTGAGGTGGCTAGCCAGTGTGGCTGGTGAGGGGTCTTCCTCTAGCCAGGGTAGGTCTGTCTGCGGCTGGGAAACCAAGAGACGCTCACACCCCTGACAAGTCCCGGCCACCCTGCTGGCCTCTCCGCACGTGGCCTCACCACTGAGACCACACGTTCTCGGCTGCAGCCCTGGACCGCTCATTTCTGCCAGTGTCAGCCCTGCTTATTCTGCCTGTGGAGCACCCCAGTGGTCTCCAGCAGTGCCCAGCGTGGGGCTGGCGGGAGGGGGGCGACGGCCCTCTCCTGCTGGAGCCGGGCTCCCTCACGTGCGGGTAGTAGTTGATGTGGTGTGGAAGGGGCTCGGAACAGGGAGGGTCGGGCCTGCTGGCCAAGTTTTCCTGCCCTGGACTTGCTACGCTTGGGATAGGGAAGCTCTGCTCCCGGGGTTGGGAGACTCCAAAGGACGAGATGCTTTCTGGGACTCAGCACATTTGGAAAATGGGTCCGAGTGACCTGGGGACCTCTGCTTGGTTGGGGCCTGGCTGGTGCCATTGGAGGTTTGAGGGGAGGTGGCGGTCTGAGGTTTAGAGGGTGGCTTCCTGAGGCCACCAAGAACTTGCTCAGCACTTGTGAAGTAGCCCAGAGGCCCTCTGGGCCAAACCCTGGCTGTGTGGAACACCCTGTGATGGGTCAGACCCCAGGCCTTCCCATCATGGAGTCTTTGGTTTGGTGCGAGAGGCGAACCCAGCCTAGACCTTAGACTCAGGGTGGGGAAAGCCATGGTAGAGCCAGCCTGGTGGGAGATTTGAGGAAGGCTTTCTGGAGGAGGTAGCCCTCTTTTCAGAGGATAAACACCCACTTGCTGACCACCCCCCAGGTCCCTAATCCATTCCTGCGTGGGAGCTGGGACCCCAGGAGCCTCTTGGGGGGCCCTCCTGCCACATCCATGGGGACCCCTTTGAGAAGGGGCTGAACTGCCCTTTCCCTGCCCCACACCTGGCCACTCAGGCCCCCCCACTCCACTGCTGGTTGGAAACATTTCTTCCGTGACAGCCACTGGGGAGCAGCAGCCCTCTTCCCCCATGCCGCCCGTCCTATATCAGCTTCCATGCACAGTCCCTGCGGGCGGCAGATGGGCGGAGAGACTTGAAATCCTCTTGTTTCTGTAATGAAAACGTCTGAAAGTGTCCCCCTGCCACCTAAGTGGGTACAGTGTGGTCAGGCTCCTCCCACCATGCCCAGGCCCCTTACCGCTTGCTCTGTGTGCCCGCTGCCTGCTTCGGCTATGGGGCTCAGGCCGGCCTATGTCCTCCCTCACCGTGGAGGGAATTCCCTGACCCTTTGGCCTAGGAGCCTCCTGGTCTCACTCTGGGGCCCTCTTTTCCTCCCAGGATTGATTCCTGGCCACCATGAGCTGCTGCAGGCCAGGCTCCAGGCAGGGCCTTGGCCCCCAGGCCTCAGTTTCCTCATGGTTAATATAGGGAAAGCTCTGGAAGCAAGGTCTGACACAGAGGGAGTGTCCAGGACTCATCTGTTGTGGTCATTATCATTGCTGTGAGTCTGAAATGAAAGGATGGTTATAAAGGGCTTACTTGGGGTGTCTCGGGAGCCCTGGTGGCGCAGTGGTTAAGAGCTCAGCTGCTAACCAAAAGGTCGGCAGTTAGAATCCACCTGCCGCTCCTTGGAAACCCTATGAGGCAGTTCTACTGTGTCCCATAGGGTTGCTATGAGTCGGAATCACCTTGATGGCAGCGTGTTTGGTTTTTTTTGGTTTGAGGTTTATTGAGCACTTACTATGTAACAGGCGTGGGATCAGTACTTCATGAATGTGGTTCCATTTAGTCCCCACCACACCCCTGTGAGGTGGGTGATTCTCGACTGTGCTCAGTTTTACAGATGGGGAGACCGAGGCGTGAAGAGACAGGGTGAACTGCCCGTAGACCAGCTGACAATGGAGTTCCATCTGGCTTTGGCCACTCCCTTTCCACATGCACACAGGGCTAACTGTGCTTGGGTCTCTGTGCCAAGACCTCCAGGGGCCAGGTTAGCACCAACTCTGACCTAGAGCACTCTGGCCTGCAGGAGCTGGTTGACTGGGTGCTGGAGGAGGAGGCCCAGAGGCCCTGTGCTGCAGGCACCCAAGATGGTCCCCTTATCCTGGAGGTGGGCTGTGGATCAGGGGCCATCGCCCTCAGCCTGCTGAGCCAGCTCCCCCAGGTGAGCCCCACTGCATCCCTACACCCCACCCCAGGCAGACTGTGACTGCTGCTCACTGTCCCTCCCACCCCTCTGCCCGGAGCACCTGAGGGAGATGGGCCAGAGGAGGGGGGACAGGGCCGCCCCAGCTTACTGTCGCCGCAGCCTCCAGTTGGCACCTCTGTCTGTCTGCCAGGCCCTGGCCACAGAGTAGGAAGGCCTGTTGGACATTTCCCTCCTCTCCTGCTAGGGGGTCGGAGGGGGTACTCTGCTTCACAAGCCTGGCCTCCCCAGGCACCCTATGGCCCATGTACCCCTCTTTGTTCTTGAAGCAGAGCCAAGTCATTGCTGTGGATAAGGAGGAGGCCGCCATCTGCCTAACCCGTGAGAATGCTCAGAGGTAGGAGGGCTAGGGGCCAGAGGGCCAGGGTGACGGGGTCAGACTTTGGGCCTGATCCTCTCCAGATACCAAACTCATGGATGTCGAATTCCACTCCTAAAAAAGGGTGGGGAGAGTGGGGGCGGGACTCCCACTGGATTACAAATGAAGGTGGGCACTGGGTATCCTGGTGGCCCAAGAAGGGGTCATTGTCCCTCTGGGCTCTTGTAGCCAAGGGGAGGAGCCTGTCCCCCATGCTCATGCCACCCCCTCTCCCTATTTCTCCAGGCTTCAGTTGCAGGACAGGATTCGGATTGTCCCCCTTGATGTGACCCTAGGTACCCTCCCACTCATCTTCCTTGGGGGCGGGGTCTTGGATACAGGTACTGTTCCTTGCTAAGAATGGACGAGTCACTGTTGCCACACATGTCTCCTGGGCTAAGCTGACCTGTGAGGGGATCAGCCACAGAATCTTTCTTTACCTTATGAATTTCCTATAACTAGTGAGTTTAACTAGGGTTTGCTTGTTGACAAGAGAGAAACAGGAGCTGAAAAGCAAGCCTTCAGGACCAGAATATTTGCTCTGCAGGCACTCTAGTCAGTGTTGCCTATCAGGCCAGTGGGCCATGGAGGAGGATACAGGCAATCAGAGAGGGCTTCCTGGAGGTGGCACATGAGCCGAGTCTGGCTTATTGAGCAAGTTTTTAATAGGAAGAGGAGAGAGCAAGGATATTCCAGATGAAGGGCTGTCATGACAGATTATGGATGCTTCTGGCCAGGCTGCTATCTGGGGATCCTGGGTACTAATCTGCAAAACTAGCTTCTCAGGTCCAGAGACAGGACCAAGGCATGGCTCCGGGGAGAGGCTACCCAAGGGGCATGGTGGCAGGTGGAGCAACCACCTCTTCTCTCCCAGTGAGCCAGTCCCTGATGTGTGTCTTCTTCTCTGACCACAGAGAGGTGGTGGACGCACCTTCTGCCCTGGGGCCCCATGGACCTGGTGGTCAGCAACCCTCCCTACGTCTTCCACCAGGACATGGAGCAGCTGGCTCCTGAGATCTGCAGGTGCTGCATGGGGCAGGATGGGGAGGCCAGGCCTGAGAAGGCCTAGTGGGAAGGGCAGGAGGGTGGGGGCCAAAGCGGGCGGGGGTGTGGAAAGGGTGCTCTCTAAAGCCTGCAGACCTACCTGGGTTCAGCTTATGCCTTCCCACGTCAGACCACTGGATGACCAATGAACCTCTCTGAGCCTCAGCTTCCCGCCCATGCAAGGGGGGTGGCGGAGCTTTGCAAGGCCATAGCGAGGGCTCAGTGACGACTGAAGCATGGGACGCAGTGCAGAGCCCACAGTAGGTGCTCGGGAGATGGGCGCTGTCACTGTCCCTCTCAGGGCGCCTCCACACACGTGGCGAGCATCATTTTACAGAAGACTGAGGCCCAGAGAGGGAGGGCACCTTATCTAAGACCTCATGGGGGTTTAGTGAGAAAGCTGGGGCTAAAACCCTCTTCCAGGCTTTGTACTGTGCCACCCTGCTCCCAAACAGGGACTGAGAACCAGGGGGACCCCAGGAGCACCTGGGTGGGGTAGGGGTAGTGACAGGGGGCACTCCTGCTCCAGGGCTGTCAGTAGATGGGATTCACCAAGCATGCCAGGTGTCACCGGCAGGAGGTAGGGGGATAGGAGCTGCCGTCCACTTGGGGCCACCTCTTCTGGGTCCTCAGATTTACCTCCCAGCCCAGAGTGTGAGTTCCACGGGACCCCCTTCCTCCATACTTTTTAGATAACTCCCTCCCCCAGGCTCTCACCTACCACCGTCTTCACTTCAGCTATGAAGACCCAGTGGCCCTGGACGGCGGGAAGGAGGGCATGGACGTCATTATCCATATCCTGGCCTTGGCGCCCCAGCTCCTGAAGGGCTCTGGGTACGTGTGAAGTGGGTCTCCTGGGTCTGTCCCTAGCAGCCTCCTTCCCTCCCAGTGGGTGCTGGGTGTGTCCTGGCAGTCCTTCTGCCCCCACCCCTTCCAGCCTGGGCAGCCCAGGAGTGCAGGTCCTGGCCCTGCCCGGTTGAGCCAGCTCAGCTTCTCTCTCCCACATAGAAGTGTCTTCTTGGAAGTGGAGCCAAGGCACCCAGGGCTTGTCGGCAGCTGGCTCCGGAGCCAGCCTGACCTGCACCTCGATCTCGTGGCTGTGCGCAGGGACTTCTGTGGGAGGTGAGACTCTGCCCACTCCCCACAGCACCCAGGCCATCCACACCTGTGCTGCCCACAGTGGCTGTGCCCAGAATATGGATGTGGCTGTGGGGACAGTGTGCTGTTCCCACTCCCCGCTCATTCCCAGGGCCCAGGCAGCAACGGGCCCTCATCTCTCTCTCTCGTCAGGCCTCGATTCCTGCATATCCGGAGATCCGGACCCCAGTGTGGCTGCCCTGTGGGCACCTAACCAGGGCTCCAGCCTGCCTGAGTGCCTGCCTGACCTTCCTTTCTGGAATGCAGCCCGGGAGAAGGTGGATGGTGCCTTCCAGAATCCCAGATGCTCATGGCATTTCCTGTGGCTCTGCGATTCCCCATGCTCCACATTTCTGGGAGACTTGGGGGTAGAAGCCAGGCTGGGGGTGTCCTTCCTGGGGTGGCAAAGAGCAGGGGCGTCCACAGCCCAGCTCGGGAGCTGGATGGACTTGGGTTCTCAGTCTGGCTCCATCAGATCATTGTGGCCAAGGACAAGTTTCTCAGTGTCTCTGCTGATGGCACAGGGGTGGCCCGAGGCCCACCCTCCGAGTTGTTGGGGAGGTATTGGGAGATATGGCCAGTAAAAACCAATAAATAGTGACCTAATGTTTTTGTTACTGTGATTTCTGGGCCCCTTTCTACCCCAGCAGGGAGCAATGTGGATGGAGGCCCATGAGTGCTCGCTCCTGGTCCTGGATGCCTTGGGACTTGGCACTGAGCAGCTTACTCCCGAGGATTGACTTAGCCTGCACTGTCCTGGATGCACCCACACACACTCCCCTGACTGGGCCTGGGCTCAGAGCACAGAAACCTCATCTGAGCTTCAGCTCACAGATGGCTGCCTTCTCCCTGGAGGGACGGGACTGAGGGTCTTAGCTGCACAGTTCTGGGGGCACATATCCACAGTCACTTATCTGAGGGCTTGAGCCAGGGAGGAGTGAGCAGGACTCTTGTTGACTTTCTAGTTCCAAAGCTTTCAGCTAAAGCATCCCTTCCAGCTGACCTTGAGGTTTTAAGTAACCCACCTGTCCCTGGTTGGGGCTGGGGAGAGTGAGAAGCCGAGACAGAGTGGATTCCAGGTTGTAACCTCCACCCCAGCTCTGGTCTGTGCAGACCCATGGCCACCAGGAGGCCTGAAGGCCCAGCCCTCATGGCCATAGTGACAGGAAGCCTGCAGGTTGGCAGGGGCCATTGTGAGCCTACATTAGGGTGGGTGCTGAGGGGCATGGCAGACCAAGTTGGCTGATTCTGCCTTACCCTCTGCCCTGGCATTTTCTAGGGCCTGGCCTGGTGGTGTGGTGGCTGGAGACAGTGTAGTCTGGTGGGCATTATCCTCTGCTGAAGTCAGGAGACCTGGGGCCCAGGGCTATGACTTGCAGTGGGACCTCAGGCAGCGCCTTTCCCTGCGAGACGCTGGCTCTGTGTCTCCAAGGCCACTGTAAGATGGCAGCCCCAGTTTACTCTGTCAGCCAGGTGGAGTGTGCAGGCAGGCCTCTGAGTGCCCACTCCTCAGGCAGGGAGACTGAGGCTCCAGGGGAAGACATGGCCTGCCTGAGGTCCCACGGTGGGAGGTGGCGAAGTGGAGATGGGCAGTTAGGTTCCTGTCTCGGGGGAGTCTCTGTTGCAGGGCTAATACCCCACCTGAGTGACTCACTCTCCTGTTATGGCTTGCGGTCCCGTTCACCTTGGCAGAGGACAGGCTGCAGCTCCCAGGGCTGTGGGGTCCTGCCCTGTGCCCAATTCCAGCTGCATGGACCCTGAGATATCCCCAGCATCCTTTGAGGAGGAGCTGGGGGCTCCCCCTTATGGGCACTCCAGAAGGCATCTAGGAGGGCAGAGTGTGGCACAGCCAGAATGGGGTCCCCCACTTCCTGAGCTCCCTGTGCTCTCAGAACTTTACACCTTAGCCTGCCGAGCTCATCACAGTAGTGTCCTTTCTCCCCTCCTGCCTGTGCCCCTAGGCTCTTGGTGTCTTCAGCAGCATCTCAGGGTGGCTCCCTGACCCTCATGGTGACCTGTTGCCCCCTTGTCCCGTAGCCTGAGTCACATCTCAGCCAGCACTGGCTTCCCTGGTGTTCTCACTCTCCTATCCTCAGGCCTGTTACTGAGGAAAAGCCTTGGCAAGCATGCGGGTGTGGTACCCTAGTGAGTGTGATGATGGACAGTGACAGGTCCCCCAGTGAGGGTGATGATGGACAGTGACAGTGTAGGGGCAGCCGGGGTCACTGAAGAGGAGCCACCCTTGGGGGCAACGTTCTTTCCAGAAAACTGCAGGGCTTGACTCCATGGGGAAAGAGGTTCAGACCAAGTGGCTTGGCAGGATGGGCCTCAAGCCCGCAGTTGCTAGCTTGACTGGGCCCTGGGTCTGAAGCTTGAGCCCCAGTGTTGGAGCCACACAGCCTGGGTTCAGACCCAAGGTCCACACCTCACCAGGTTGTGGCCTTGGGCAGATGACTTCACCTTCCTCAGTCCTGGCTCCCAAGCCTCAGAAACAAAACCAAGGGCTTTATCACATAGAGTGGTTGTTGAGGAGCCCTTGGGATGCTCCTTTCATGGGCCATTGTGGGTGTTTTCATTGCCTGCCCTGGAGGGTGGGCACGGGGATGGTTCCGCATCCTCATGCGTCTGTCTGGTGCCCAGCGCCAGCACCTTCCCACAAGGCAGAGGCACAGAGTAGTCAGGGGGACTGAAGGAGGAATATCCTTCTTGGGCTCTAGACTTCCTTCTGCCCTCTGGAGATGGAGCCTGACAGTTCAGGACCTCCCCTGAGTCCCTCCTTCACCTTCCTCACCAGGTCCTAGTGCCCCAAGGCTGAGGCCAGTTCAGCCAGTGGCTCCAGCTCAGCGAGCTGTCTGCTCTCTCCCCTCCCTTCCTTCTGGGCTAGAGCTGAGAACTTGAGCCGCCTCCTTTGCCTGTCGTTTGGAGCCCATGGAGGCAGAACAGCAGAACATGGAGCTGTTGGTGGAGCCCCGGCTCTGCCTGCTGCCCACCCAGCCCCCTTCAGCCAGAGCCCAGAGTGTGGGCCAGGTGTGCAGGAGTCCCCGCTGGATGCACTTTGGGAAAGCAGTTCCACCCCCTCTTCTGGGGAGATTGAGGCCTTGCCTCCCAGTTGGATGCTTTTCCCAGCTGCCCACAGGTCTTTCCCAGGGGCCCATCCAGCTGCTTTACTGAAACGTGCTCCCAAACCCCTAACTATAAGAAATGCACCTTTTCTGCTTTCCCATTTCAATCTGGTCTCCAGGCCACCTCAGCTGCTCCCAATCCCTGCCCTAAACCCTTGGCTGGCTTCCCAACCTGAGTGTGGTTTCTGTGTCCTGCAGAGCCCAGTTTGGAAGAGGTAGGGGAAGGCAGCTAACGGAAAGGGCCTGGGACTCTTCCCAAGGCCCCACCAGTGCTCTGAGTAAGCTTCCATCAGAACAGAGGGTTCCACTGCTGATAGGATTTGAGAACTGCTGGCTTGGGGCAGGAAATCCTTTCACTCCCGCAGGCCAGCATGTCCTTCTCTGTCCAACTTCAGATTCTTCACTGACACGGACTCTAGCCTCCCTGAGCACACCTCCTTCCCTCTGCCCAGGCAGTGCACCAGGAATACCCCTGCCTACCACTGCCAGTCTAAATCATCCCTTTCAGCCTCCAACACAAACGCCATCTCCTCTGGGACATCTGTCCTTGCTCTGTGTCCTCCCTGCCTGCCCCTGACCCATACTTCTGCTACCAATGACATTATGTCCCCTGCATTTGGAAATGTTGTCTCTCTCATCTCTCTGGCATACCCCAGACTCAGTAAATGTCTACCAATAAGCCGACAGTGAAAGCGTTTTCTAGAATGGAGCTGGAACTTCCCACAGGGCCCATGTCTGACATAATGGCAGTTCTCATATACCTTGGCCAGCAGGGAGAGGAAGCCGTGAGGGCCTGGCTTCCACCCTGAGCCAGGCAGCTGCTTGAGTTGATCCAGCTTCAAGGGCTCAAGTGCACCTGATCTCTGCACGACGGCCACTCTGGGAGAACAGGCTGTTCTTGGTGGTGACAAGGGCAGGCACCAGCTTTCCTGGAGCTCTGGGCCCCAGCCTGGGTGTTGGCCAGGACAGCGGCCTGATACCCCTCATGACCCCCTCACCCTGGATCAACCCCCTGGGCTCGGCTTGGGCCTGGTAAAGCAATCCTCCCCTCCTGTAATAAGCAAAATAATGACTCCCAAAGATGTCCACATCCTAATCCTCAAGACCTGTGAATATGTTACTTTACATGGCAAAAGAGAGTTTGTAGATGTGTTTAAGTTAAGGATCTTGAGATATTAAAATTACCCTGGATTACCCAGGCGGGGCCAGTGTAATCACAACAGTCCTTACAAGAGTGGGCAGGAGTGTCAGAGTGAGAAAGGATGTGAAGGTGGAAGCAGAGGTAGAAGTGATGCAGGTGCTGAAGGAAGAGGCCATGAACCAAGGACTGTGGGCAGCCTCTAGAAGCTGGAAAAGGCAAGGAAACCGGTTCTTTCTTAGAGCCTCCAGAAGGAATACAATCCTCCCCAGACCTTGATTTTAGTCCAGAGAAACTGATTTTGGCTTTCAGACCTCTGGAACTGAAAGATGATAAATTTGTATTGTTTTATGTCATTAAATTTGTGGTAATTTGTTATAGCAGCAACAGGAAACTAATACAGATTTTGGTACCCAAAGTGGAGTGCTACTGTAACAAATAACCTAAAAATGTGGAAGTGGCTTTGGAATTAGAATTTGGAAATGGGCAGAGACGAGGAATTTTGAGCAGCCTGATAGAAAGTCTAGATCACCTTGAATATCTCTCCCCGGGAGGCCTGGGGGTGGAGGTGGGGAAAGCCCCTCAACTTGGAGACCTGCACTGCCCAGACTCCCTACCCACGTGGCTCACTGTGTTTGGAGGGCCCCAGAGAGGCTGGAGGCCAGTGGGGAATGGGACTTGGATTTGAGGGGAGAAGAAGCAAGACTGGCCTCTATGGCCCATCTTCAGCGGCTTTGGGGCCACCCATGCCTTCGGAAAGGACCTCAGAGACTGAGTCCTCCATGGGGTCGTGTGGCTGGCCCAGCTCTCTCAGTGTGTGCAGTTGAGCAGGGCTCCTGCACTCTCTAGGTGGCAGGTACCTTGTCTGGGAAATGAACATAGCAGCCTCTGCTTCAGAGCTGATGGACCTGACTCTTCCATGGAATCTGGAGGGTTGGGTTCCCTTCAGCCAGCAGGCAGTGCCTAGCTCCTGCCACAGGCCTGGGCAGGGCTATGTCATCACTGTGTTCCTGGGGTGGAATTGGGTCATCCCCAGGGCCCTCAGCCTTATAGTCCCCAAAGCTAAAGTCACCAACTGGCCCATATCTAAGTCTAGTGCCCTCCACCCTGCCTCCGTCCAAGTTAGGAGTGGGTCCTCACTCTGGAGGAGGGGTACTTGGGGGCTCTGGAGGCCCCATCCCACCTGGCCAGGGCCTGGGGCTTCTGAAGACACAGCCCCCATCCAGTGGCCACATAGAGAGCTACCAGGAGGCCAGACATGGACTGATGTGCCTCATGCTAGGTCTGAGAGCTGAGAACCTGGGGGACAAACATTCTGGACACCTGGATTCAGAGGTCAACTTGGCTCTGAATCCCCTGGATATGCTTTGGATGAAGCCAAGGGAGCCTGTTTGTGTTGAAAGGGGTAGATTGTCTGTTCACTATGTCTGTTCATTTATCCTCCCCAAACCTCTGTTTG